ATTTCGAACATACTCTTGCAACTTATGTGTAAAACATATGCAACGCCCAGATAAAAACGCTTGCAACATACATCTGAAACATGAAACATTTTAAACAAACGCTTGCAACATGCCTCTGGAATACTTTGCAACATATGCAACATATATCCCGATTTACTTTTGCAACATTTATATGAAACACTTGCAACATATCTCTGGAACATCTGAAAACATTTGAAACATACGCTTTCAACATGTCAGGCGTGACACTCTAGTGGGAGGCGGCCACCATGTCCGACGCGTTGAGGAACTCGATAACCGCTTCGATGGGTAGATCAGGGCTTGGAGGTGGCAGAGCGAAGAGCACCACGGGCTTGGCTGCCGTGAGCTTCTTCCACTAGGGGCACCGGCGCGCGGAGCCTCGATGCAAGCGCGAAGTATGGCATCGGCTCCGGTGATGAGGGCAGGGGCGGGCGCCAAGCGCGACTCTAGCGGTCGCAACCTGGCGTCGTGGAGGCGGACGAGGGCCCCGAGATGGAGGAAGCGGAGGTGGTTGCCGCTGGAGAAGGCAAGCGGCGAGTGGTAGGGAACATTGTGACGGCCGTGCTAGTTGAGAATGTTGCCTTTTTTATTTTAAGAAACAGTGAAAGAATAAAAGGTAAACGGAAACATGTCTATTGGACGGGTAATGCACAGGTCGAGAAAGCGTGGCGTCCGGACAGACGGACGGTCGGACGCCCGCTCATTTCCGATTTCATTGAGGGTAAGTGGAGGTTGAGGACGTACACTCGTGTGGCAATCGTTTGAGACGTGCGACGTGTGCTCATGGGCAATCGACCTAGAGGTGTCTTCTCTCTCGGAAAACTAAGCACACGCAGACGGTTAGGATGAAATTATCCTCATAACAGTAGTATTGCCTATATTTGATAACTCGGTGACCATAGCCAGGCGGCGAGAGGGCACTACTAGGCCGTGTATCCAGTTTTTTTTTTTTAAGAAAACTATTATTTATCCATGTTGTTATGTTTTTGCACGTTGCAGGTCTTATGGGCCTTGGGCCGGTTCATTTTCTATAGAGAGGTCAGCACTCAGCCAGGACGGCCCGCTAGTGAGCTGGAAACGGACCTATGCTCTGTCGTGTCACTGATTAGCACGATCTTCTCTGGAATACTACAAATGGAGCTTTTGTTTTCGCAAATAAGAATGAACCTTTTTTTAGTTTATCTAGTGAAGTGTGTCCAGTAGACAATGCCACAATGGGTTAAGGTGAGCCTGGCGGCTGGTCTTGTAGCATGTCGTCATGGATTGATATGCACTCCGTTATCCGTTCAATCAAACATCTCCAAATTATTAAGTTCTATGCAACATATTATTATCAATTGTATATCTTGATTTGATTCGTATTGGATTTGGATTAGTTCGATTTTTTTCTCGAATACGCAAAAGATTTGCGTATCATTGTAATTAAGAAGAAGAGTTTAACCATACAAACGGCACGTTTCTGATGAGCGCGGGTTAGGTGGTCCTATAGCTATGACTGGACCTTCCTAGCTTACTGTTACCGACTTCGATATTACATAAATGGTAAACAACCGAATAAGAGCACCGCAGCGACCTACGGAGCTAGGCTTCTACGCTGCTGGCTGCGCGACCCTACTCCGTCATCCGAGAAGAGCGCTCTTCTACCAGCCCTGCTGTTGGTCGCTGGGAACAGCTTATCCAGAACTACCACGTGGCTCGGCGTCAAGTTCCCTATGAATAAGACGTCGTATATTCCCTTGAATGCAGATGAAACTGGAGTTGCCAGTGGCACGAAGCCCATCCTTTGCATGAGGAGTACCTCGCTCCGCTCGGAGGTCGGTATGTGCGCCAGCGGTTGAGGGGCAATCCATCTGCTCTTGATTGGAAGGGGCCTTTTGGTTGTCGCCTTCTGCCTTGGTGGAGTGGCGATTAAGGGTGAACTTCGCTTGAGCTGCACCTCCTCGGTAAAACCATGCGAGACGCCGAGCGGCCTTGTGCGACGTGGGCATCATGTCGCTAGGGTCAGGTGTGGCTTGGCTATCAGGCTGGCCATCCTGCATCGGCGTAGAAGTACCCGCCATGTGCTTGGCTGGCTCGAACCCAGGTGGCCAGACCTCACCATCGTCCCCTAGCGCCACATCACCCACGACAACGGGCTGCCCCATCTGTGAAGGCATGCCCTGCACAGGCGAGCCGTCACCGGAGAACAAGTGTTCGCAGCATGCAGGCACCTAGGCGTTGGTGTGACCGCCGGTCGGCTCGCGACGAGCGAGGTGTTCAATAGGGGTTCTTTCTGTGTTTTGTCTTTTATTTTGTTAGATGATGGGGAAAAAATGGGAACTCAAAGATATCAAAGAGTAAAAAAAAGGGATGGAATAAAAGAGTGATTGGTTGAAAAGAAAGAGAAATAGACTATTGAAAATCATATGGATTTACACAAACCTCTAATGATTAAAAACTAAAAACGAGATTCAATCAGGCGTCTCCTGGAATTCACTACTAACTATAAGCATGATATATAGATGACCAAGACTTCGAATCAATCCAATTCAGGAGCGTTTCACAAGTGAAAAATTAAAAGTACTGATGTGAACAGGTGGCTAAAACAAGAATACAAATGGCATAAGACAATAGTTTTGCAGAGCTAAACCATGTCAGTTATGAATAAATTGTAGAAGAAAGAGAAAAAAGGACAGTAGAACTTGCATATACAAGTCGAACTAGCATCAATCAATTCTGACACGCCATTACTAGTGGAGTTACAATAATTCGTCAGAATAATCACAAGTATTAGCAAACCCAATACATACTGGTTTAGTGATTCATAGGGTGGAAAAAAATTGCAAATCAGGTAAATAAAATTAAATCAGTAAAAAGGCCTTACTTTACTTGGGTCAGCACTCAGCACTAACGCCATGGATATCTAAAGGCCTGTCCCGTTCGCTTGGAGGATTTTGTGAGAGAAAATCAGCCGTGAACAATAACTTTTAGCCATGAACAGTGAAATTCCGGCTGATTTTTGCACCAAAACGAAATGTACCAGACAGTACCACACGATGGCACTACTTCTGACATCCAGCAAGGTCTGGTCTGATGTATGCAAACCCAGTTTGCAAGGGCAAAGAGAGCTTGTGTACTCTCTATATTCCAAAATAACTGCACATATTATTAAAAAAAATCAAATTTAATTAGATCTATAAAAAAGTATTTTCAACACTTGTATGTCTTATTATATTTATGAAAAAATTTTTCACTATTACTCTAATAATATTTATCATGCATCATAAATATGAGTATATTTTTATATATTTCATTAAATTGGAAATATTTAACTCGTCGAAAAACGAAATGCACAGTTATTTTGCGATGTAGAGGTAGGATTCAGAGACACTACTACTACTTCCGATGCACACATAGGGAAAGGGAATTATTAGGGGCTTTGAAGATTTGTGGTTTTGAAGATTCTAGCCTGGAGATAGTGTGCCCATTTGTGTGCAATGTTAACGAAATTTCATGCATAGTGCACCATGTGCCAATAGTGTATAAAAATCCCCACCCTTCATTTTGCCAGGAAATAGAATGGATCAGAAAATAATATGGGACCCTGCTAGGAGCTAAAGTGGCTCCTTACGTCAAGTAAGGCTAGATTATCTGGTTATAAGTTAAATTAGACCAAGCCTCCACTTAGACAACACGTCTGGGTGGTGTAGTTGGTTATCACGTTAGTCTCACACACTAAAGGTCCCCAGTTCGAACCTGGGCTCAGACAGTTTTTTTTTCAATTTCTTGGATTAGACACGTTTTTTTTTCCATTTCTCGTGTTTTTTTTTGTTTTTTTCCATTTCAATTTTTGTTGGGTCAGATGACCCACACTGTGATGATACAAAGATTTTGCCAGCTCAGACACTTTTGTTTTTTTTTCATTTTGAATATTTTTTGTTTGTTTTCCATTTCAAGTTTTGTTAGGTCAGATGGCCCACACTGTGATAATACAAATATTTTGCCTAATTAAATCTTTTCCCAGTTTCATTTTTTCTTAGGCCAGCATGTCAGATAGCTCATACTGTGGTAAGGTAATACAAAGATTTTGCCTTATTATTTGATCCATCCATATACTAATCTACTGTACATGACTTCTATGTTGCTGTATTTGTCATAATTCCATATACACGGAGTATCTTGCCTGGGATAATCCCACCCCTGATTGCGCTGAAGAAGATAACACAGGAGCTGCTGCTGTTTATTAAAAGAAAAAAAAAACAGGAGCTGCTGGAGAGGAGAGAGACCTCACGCTCCTCACGTTGGAGATTGGGGTCACAGATTTGCCGTGACCTGTCCGCCGATCATCGTCGTCGTCGTCGTCGCATCAGACAGCGACACATACATAAAGTATTAAATATAGATTTAAAAAATAATTAATTGTGTAATTTATGACTAATTTACGAGACGAATCTTTTAAACATAATTAGTCCATGATTTAACAATGCGGCGCTACAGTAACATATGCGCTAATGAGGATTCATTAGGCTTAATAAATTTGTCTCGTGGATTACTGATGGATTCTATAATTTATTTTTTTATTAGTATCCGAACACCCCATAAGAGCATGTATAATAATGTTTTTTAGCCGGCTGGGAGGAGTCCACATCGACACAGAAAAGGGCCACGTCGGAGAGAGATTACGGAGCGAGCGTTTCCCATCTCGCCCGCCTGCAGCTCATGGTCCGAGAAAATTTTTATTTCTCGCAGCCGTCTCCCAGCTCGCTATCGGCGAGAAGCCGACGCTTCGCTCTCCCGTCTCTCCCCTTCCCGATCCCGTGCTCCACACCATCTCTCTCGGCGCCAAATCGGCATGCTCTCCCGCCAAATTGCTTCCCCGCACGCCAGATTGGTTGTTTGCGCGCCAAATCGAACGATTTAAGCCTCAATTCCTCCCCAATCGACCTCTCTCCCAAACCTTATACACCACACCGACCAGCCGCCGCCGTTGCCTGTGCGAGATGAGTAAGAAATCGAAGAGAACCTCTGCGCCGGCACCTATGGAGATTCCCCGGCCGGTGGTTCAGCCTGTTGGCGCCCCGGGCACTCAGCCCGTTCAACCAGCATCCATCCCTTCCATGTTCGGACCCGGCATGTGGTGTCCGCCTTGCCCGCTGCAGTGTTTGCCTCCTTCATCCGCACCATTCTGGTTCGGTGGCGGCATACAGCAACCAGGCATGGCAGGTTCGTCAGCTCAGCAACCAGGCATGGCTGGTTCGTCAACTCAAGGGGCTTGGTGGACACCTGCTGTTGCTGGTATTGGTGGCTCAAGGCATTCTTGGCCTACGGCTGACAGTCAAGAAGATTCTGATGTGCTAGTATGGTACGTGATCCATTCTTGATTAATATTGTTTTGTGGCCCTTTTAAGTATTCTTAGTTATTTAATTTTGTACTAGTCTATTTTGCTCTGTAATTAGATGGCTTATATTTCATATGAGAGACTTCTGCAACAAAAATGATGCATATTTTTTTCTAGCAATATTTGTGGTGTTTCTTATCTAGCCTAGATGTCTGCGCGATCCCTCATGGTATGATAAGGAGATTAGTTAGTTTATATTTATTTTTGGCAGGGCTAATCTAGTACACAATAATTCAGTATTCATATTTATTTTTGACAGGGGATTAGATTCTCACCCTCCTGGTGGTTTTGTTAATATGTTGAAGAGCACACCACAAGTTGCAAGCAATAGGACTGCATCACAGGCAATCCATATTGACAGTGACAACAATGATGCTGATCACAGTAGGTCTGAAAAGCGCTTGACATGGACAAAAGAGGAGGATTTAAATTGGTAAGTGTTTCTTTAATTAAAAGGCATTATGCCTTACATTGCTAGCACACACATCAATTGACATCTATTGATAATGTTGCAGGTTAGTGCTTGGCTGATGAATTCAAATGATCCCATCCAAGCCAATTATAAGAAGAATGATCAGTACTGGAATGGTGTTGCTAAAGGTTTTAATAGAACCGTCCCAAAAAATCGAGTCAGATCAGCTAAGCAAGTAAAGGATCATTGGTGGAGAATTAAGCTAAGGGTTGGTTAGTTTTGTGGTAACTGGAAGGAGGCTGATTCTATGTGGGGTAGTGGTGAATCAGAAGATGATGTAATGAAGAAGGCACTAGCAAGTTACGAAGAAGATCACAAAAAAGATGGTCCATTTGCGTATAGGCATTGTTGGGAAGTTCTTTCCAAGGAACCAAAATGGAAAGCCTATTTGGAACGCCTTCAAGATCTAGAGCCAGAGAAGAGAAAGTTTAGTGTTGATGAGGAAGTGGAGCAGCAGTTCTCTCTGGATGATGTTAGAGATGAATGACCAATGGGGGGCAGGAAAGCTAAAGAGCTGCGCAAGAAAAAGAAAAAGGACCAGCCTTCTATAATAGATATCGAAGATGAGCTTCACAGCTTTTTAGATGCTCAAAAAGCTACAAATGAAGGGCATATAGAGATGTTAGAAACACAAAGGCGTGTGTCTAGTGAGAAGCTTGAATCTCGGAGGCTTGCTCACCTTGCAGCAAAAGAAAACAAGGAGGCAGTTATGCTAGAAACATATCGATCGTTACTGACGCATGACACAACTGGAATGGATGAAGATGTGAAAGCCGAGCATGTGTTGGCATTGAGGTGCTTGAGGGAGAGCTTATTTAAAAAAAATGACTAAGGTATTCCTTATGGTTCCATTTATTATACTGAATGATTACTATGCTGAAACAAGTTCAATTTACTAAATGTTTTACAATGCTGAAAATGTGGATCATTGAATTATGTGCTGCACTTAATGTAGTCTATGCTGAAAATATGGATTACTAATTTATGTGCTGCACTTAATGTAGTCTATGCTGAAAATGTGGACCGTTACCATGCAGTCCAGATACCCATACACGTAGTCAATACTCCAGATAACCATACTACAATTAAATTGCACGTAACTACAATGCATTGCAGAACTACAACACGTATCAGAACACTCTATATAATCCCCTCATCTTTCTATTCTGGCTGCAAAACTGAGTTTCTCTCCTCGTGCTCTCTGATCTTCCTACTCAGCCCAAACCATGTCAGATTCATACTCATACTCAGATGATTCTGATGAGCTAGCCCCTTCCAAAATCCTTGAAAAGCATGTTGCCGAGCAGAGCGTCCTCGACTCCTTTGCTAGGAGTCTTGCAATGAAGTTCAAGGCTGCCTTCTCGGGTGGGGTACCTCAGCGACAATATGGTCCTAGAAAGAGCATCCGGAGAGATCATGCAGGTGCCCATGAGCGTCTTGTAGCGGACTACTTTGCTGAAGAACCACTCTACCCCGAGAGTATGTTCCGTACTAGATTTCGTATGAATAGGCGTCTCTTCCTAAGAATTGTGGATGCCCTTGTTCAGTGGAATCCCTATTTTACTTATAGGGCAGATTGTGCTGGTCGAATAGGGCTCTCACCACTGCAGAAGTGTACAGCAGCCATGCGCATGCTGGCTTATGGCAGTCCTGCAGATGCTCTTGATGAGTACTTGAAGATTGGGAAGTCCACTGCATTACAGTGCTTGGACAAGTTTGCACGAGGGGTGATTGAGGTGTTTGGTGGGGAGTACTTGCGACGCCCCACACATGAGGATGTTGAGAGAATACTCCAGGTTAACGAGTCTCGTGGTTTCCCTAGAATGCTAGGTAGCATAGATTGCATGCATTGGCGTTGGGAGAATTGTCCTTTAGCTTGGAGGGGGCAATTCACCCGTGGTGATTATGGAGTTCCAACTATAATCCTAGAAGCCGTTGCTTCCCATGACCTTCATATTTGGTATGCATTCTTTGGAGTTGCTGGGTCAAACAATGACCTTAATGTGCTGAACTAGCCCCCACTTTTTCTTGATGCCTTAAAAGGAGAAGCCCCTCAAGTTCAGTTTTCAGTCAATGCCAATGAGTATAGAACTGGTTATTACCTTGCCGATGGTATATATCTAGAATGGGCAGCCTTCATGAAGTCAATAACACTTCCCCAAACAGAGAAGCATCAGTTGTTTGCTGAGCATCAAGAAGGGGCAAGGAAAGATGTGGAGCGTGCTTTTGGGGTATTGCAGTCCCGTTTTTCCATTGTTCGTCGTTCTGCACGCCTATGGAAGAGAAAGAGTATTGGAAGGATCATGCTAGCTTGTGTGATTCTCCACAATATGACAGTGGAAGATGAAAGAGAGGATGTTAAAATTCATATTGACTTGAATGAGAATCCAGGGGCATCCTTTGCTCTACCTCCTGAAGTGAACACTAGTCGTAATCCACGCTTTGCCGATGTCATGCGTAGAAAAGCTGCTATCCGAGATCGTCCACAGCATACCCAGCTTAAAAATGATCTCATTGAGCACATTTGGCGCAAGTTCAGAAATAGGCAACGTAACTAGTCATGGTAGAATTCTGAAACCTGCATGTTTATGTTGTTTTTTCCCTTCATAGTGAGAACTAACATGATGTCTTACATGTATTTTTCCAGGAATCAAGACTGGGCATGGTGTAGTGAATGCTGCAGATGCTACTTGCAGGCATCCACTCTAAAATTCTAAACATGTTGTCTTGAACGTATTTGATCCACACTTGTCCACAAACTTGAACTTTTCTAGCTAATTTTCAGGACCCATATGTTTAACTTTGACACTATTATGCTTGCAGTGTTGTCACTTGATGCAAATGTGCTGGCTGCTCCATTCTACCGAAGTTGCTTCTATCTCCGTCGTCTAGATCTATGTGCTAGCGAACTCTTGCTTGAACTTATCAATGTGCTAGTTAATGAACTTATTTAGTATGGCTTGGTTGATGTTGTTTCACTGGTTGGAGAAAAAAAATTCTCTGAAGTTCCGTGGATCTCATTTCAGTATACAGTCATGTCTTGGCTTAGTATTTTTTATTTATCCACCTGTTTCCATCATATTATTATTGTTTGGTGAATGGCTACAAAGATATCTATCACAGCTGATGGCATGTACATGGGCTTTTACATGTTGACATTAAATGCTTGTATTTTTATTATAATACACCTCTCAGTCGGCTCACTGTACAGGTTGACTATATGATTAGCTGTAAGTGACATAGCAGCTTCTCTCAGCCGGCAGTGGGCTAAACCATTAGCCTTGCTCTAAGACATCCATATGACACGGTCACACGACTTTACACGGCAGTGGACTTCTGGAGTTCTGGACACGGCAACGCGTGTCCACCGTGGATCCCTGCCGCTCGCGGCTGGTACCAAACGCCCAACAGTTGGAGCGCCAGCGGTCAGCTGCCCCACCAGCAAGCGCACGCGCCGTGGGGCGGACACCTGGACGAGCGGCGGCAGACCAGGAGGTTCGTTTCTTCCTTGCCGAAAAGGCAAAAGATTTGGCATGCCATGAATGACGATGCGCTCGTTGCACGGAGTCGGAGCGCACAATTTTGTAAAAGGCCTCCTCCGTGTCGCGGCCGCCCGCGCCCGGGGCCGTCGCTGTCAGAAAAAGCGCGAGAGATTCCTGAGAATCGTCGATCTGTGCGCTCGTTTCGTCGCCCACCGCAGATCTGGTGGGGGAATCTCGCCGGGACGCCGGGCCAGACCAGACCAGACGTGCGATGCGGAACAGCTGGGTGGGCAGTGGGCTGGCTGGCTGGACCATAGTGCGCCTGTGCAATTGAGGGAATTCAGTTCGTCAGGCTGGCTGGACCATGTTGGGAGCTTCTTCCACGTGGAGTGGAACCATGCAAAAAATCTGTCGTCCGCGTGCCGGATTTTCAACACAAGTTCTCTGAGTGTTCTTCACGTTTTCAGGCACAGATGAGGAGCACGTAGTATGCAATTTGGAACACGTCAATTTCTCTTTTTTTTTCCTCTACAAAAAGAGAGAACTATGGAGTTTGGAGTGATTAGCTTCAGTTTGGTTTCACAGGCGTGTCGATCGGTGGTTGTTCGTCCTCCTGCTTGATACAGCACCATTTCACTGCCCAAATTGCATTTTGCATCCGTGTTCTTCGCGGAACAACCGATAACTGTACGTAACCTGAATCATGTTGTTCTGCACAGTTCTGCTTTAATTGACCCAGGAATTGGAGAATGTTCAGATATCAAAATGCAGTGCCCCCTTTTGTTGTTGTTTTTTCCATTCCAGAGATGATCAGCACGTTCGTTTCGGCTGAAACGATCATAGATTATTACTGCTGGCTGGTTTAGTGTGAGAGAAGAACACTGTTGTGGCTTATAATCCACGATCGTTTACGACCTAGCTGGATGTTTGTTTCGGTTGCTGTTTCATCATTAGATGATTGTCGATGCAGGACCCCAGGGATTCCCTATCAGGTCGACTCCTACGCTAGACCCGTGGCGGGCCCACGGTCTCTTTGAAGGACACAATGTAAGGAGACGTGGACTTCAAGCCATCAAGGACCGAGTCGGCTTATTAGGAAAGCAAGATTCTATAATAGAATTAGGACTCCTCTGAAGTCATGAAAAAATTAGGATTTTTCTGTTGTAACTGGCTAGGACTAAAAACACACATTTGCCCTCTCTCCCTATATAAAGAGAGGCACGATGCACCCCATTTAACCCTAACAATCATACAATCAATCCAACCCAAAAGGCTCACGCCGACTGGACCTAAAGGCTATTACTCGATCACGAGGGCCCGAACCAGTATAAATCGCTGTCTCTTTGCGTTCACCGTCGAGTTCCTAAGTTCGTCGAAGCCCACCGAACACCGTCCCGGGTACCCCCGTGACGGGTTGCCGGTCATCAAACACCGACATCTGACGCGCCAGGTAGGGACTTTCGGTGAATTCGTGCTTGAGAGCTCGACGAACCTCGACAACATGATTTTCCCGGTGGGATTGACCTTCGTCTTTGGCTCTTGGATCTGCATTGCTGACGACCCTGGCCAGCTCCAGAGTCATCTCATCGAGATCTAGGCGCCTCAGGATACTCCAGCCACTTCTGCAACCACGCTGAATCAACTCACCGAGAAGTTCTCGTAGCTTTCGATTTCTGATCCGACTCAGATCTTGGGAGTCGCTCCGCTTCATGACTCTAACTCGCACACGCCGGCCTTGTCCGACTCGGAGTCCCTTCCGGGTTCCATAATTGAAGACCCGGGTTGTTTTCCACTCGGACTACGCAATCCAGCTTCTGCCTACCAGGAGTCGATCCAAGATCTATTCCAGTTGGCGCAGGAGATCCCTCTGATGGGTGCTCAGAAGGGACTTGTGCTATCTATCACTGTTCAAGGCTACATCGTGCACTGGCCAGGTGCCTTACCCGATACATCTTCTACATATCCATCTCGCTTGGTCGGATGGTGGAGCTCTTGCCCTACTAAGACAGCAGTGCTCTTCCAGCTGATAATGACCATGGTTCTACAGAGATTTTGCACAATGCGGCGACTGCGGAATCTAGAACCCATTCAACCCAAGACATTCTAGAGAAGTTTTCATGGCCGGTCAACCTCCACATATCCCTATGCCTCAAGCACCAGACGTTCAAGATGGAGAGAGACTCTATCCGACATCTCCCCGGACACTGCAGCGCTCAACAGGGAGACAAACAAGTAGAGGATAGCTAGGGAAAGGAAGAACAAGGCTCGACAGGCTTGACACAGTCGCGCCCAACATCGCAAGGAAGAGTGGGAGTAGTACCAGTCGGCTTGCTGAGACATCGAACGATGA